GCAGAATCTCAAGGGCAAGAACAGCAGGAACCTGAAACGCGACTTTTACGAGGCAGCGTACCAGTCTCTGGACCAGCATGCTCCGTTTTTTGGTCCATTGAACCTGGAGCAGCGCAGAGAAGCCCTACGCGGTGATGGTGCTCATGCTGCCCCATATAAGCTCTGGCATACGGAGCAGGAAATTGTCATCACAGCGCGCAACCGTTTTGTCGACCTGTATATGGTGGTGAGCCTGGCCAATGCTCCGTTTCTCTACTGGATACTGAATCATGATAGTTTGGGCCCGTCTTATTTATGGATCCTTGGTGGTGTCAGCCCGTTCTTCATCTTCCCCTAGTTATGGTGTGCTAATCGCACGTCAAACTAGAATCACAGCACAATTTGACCACCTCGCAGAGACTTACTTCAGCGGGTTCGATTACGACTTGGGCGAGCGCGAGCTTGGATATCTCGTTTCATTCGACTTAGATCTCGATATCTTTGCTGCGTCGATTGGAATGACAAAGACGTCTATCGCCACTCTTGTCCAGGACGATGGTACGCGTTTCTCTCTCCATCGAAATAGTGTGTCGTGCCTAATCAAGGGTATCAGAAACGGTTTTGGACTTGGGTGGATTTGACATTGACACCGAGTTGTTTGAGCCATTGCAGCGGCTATTGGATCAATACAAAGGAGCCAAAGCGTTGTCTAAGTGGGTTGAAGAACGACAACTCTGTATGACATACTGATGGCTCGTTTAGGAAACTGACCAAGCGATTAGAAGACCTCATCCAAGACTCTACCGCTCTCAAGGCCCATTTGGTGCCCCAGATGAAAGCCCTCAGCAACTTCGTCCCGGAACTCGTCAACTTTGGCATCTCGGTAAGACTCACTCCCCAGGCAAATCTTCGTCACTCATACCGATTCAGTTTGCTCAACAAATCATGCCGCACTTGAGCGACGTGCGGAGTTCCAAATCGCCGTTCCAGTTGACGACGATATTATCTTTCGTCAAACAAATAGCTGCTTCCACCGTGGCGAAGGACATGAAGCCAGGAGTGACTGCGTGGGAAGCGATTGGGGAGTCCATCACGCAGCTCATCCAGGAAGGTAGTAAGCTTCTGCCTTTGGCTCTCGAGCCAGAGAATGTGATCAAGGGTAAAATTATTCACCTTCTGTTTCTGTTGAGTACTGACCCATTTCCCAGTCTCCGGGGTTTCCCCTTGGGTAACCAGGGTTGACGAAGTCAAGGCCAGCGTAGCCGTCAACCTGGAAGCCGAACGTAGAGTGGCGCAGCTTAACGAGGAGCTGCAAGGCCTTGTGCCGAGAAAGACATCGTCATCGCGGACAGCAAGCGACGTCAACGCGAGCTGGAGGAAGCACGCGACGTCTCCTGCAGAAGACTTTAACCTACATCTCCGTGTCCTATCGTCTATGCTTGAATGTATGCTAACGGTTTCCGAGGTCCTAGCTGCTGCCTTTTCGGCCCTCGCTTTCTGGTGATTCATATTACTTTTGCTCGGTGTTGCGCTGATCAATCCTAGACCACAATCGGTCGGGGATATCTTCTTGATGTTCAGTGGCTCTGGGTGGGGGAGGAGACGCGAGTGAGTTCGGCGCGAAGCGCCGAGCGAGCGAGCGAGCGACGACGACCTGGATGTACCAGCGAGACTGCTGTACGGAGAGAGCGGGGTTACTTCTTAGCTCTCAAATAGCGAAGTGTCTGTCTATTGATTCTATTGATGTTCGGTGCCTCTGAGTGGGGTCATCTTAGCTTCCGGGACTATCGTGGCGGAGCCAGAGAATCTGCCTGTCGAGGGCAGCCTGGAGACGTCGCACCTTTTAGATCAAGTATGACTTTCACCTTACTGTGTTTATTCTTTTTCTAACAGAAGTGCGTCTAGATCGATGCTCTCCGCGGCACCGTTCGGTATCTCCGCACTGAGAACTCGTACCTCAAGGGACAAGACCTGCTGCGCGAAATCGAGGCACTACCTCCTCTCCCCGAGCCTATCAGCCGGATACCTACACCCCCACTGCATCCCTCGGGACTGTCAGATTCGGACGATTCCGACTCGGAAGACAGACCGCACTCGCCACCGACGTTGCGCTCTTTAGCCACGGAGACGAAGATACTATATCGCGATGTCATCAAGTTCTCCTCTTCCCCACGGGTTGTTGACTTGTCTGCCCTCAACGCCAAGCGCACGCAGGCCAATGGGGCCCGCGTGTGGATGCCCAAGAAAAGCATGCCCGCGCATCAGGTGTGGGAGAGGAAGATGGAGGCAGAGCGGCTCGGTAGACGCGTGCGGGGCCTCTTGGATAGGGCCAGTATCATCGGAGGAGATTCATGATGATTTATGTTATGTCGTTTTGGTTGTCCTTTTTTCTGCACGCTTTGGATTTAGCTATACCCGACCACATCTTATTACCACTATAACAATGTACCCTAACGCACTATGGCATGGCCACTGAGGGGCAATCATAATGGTTTTTTTGAAGAAAAAAAAAACAGAGAGCTCACACTGTTAATCAACATTGCATAAGGGATTTTAACTATTATGCAGCCGTCGGTCGCCAGTCCTGAGGTTCTGGAGGTGCAAGGCCATATCGAGCCAACTAAATATTATATATGTATGATAAAACAAAAAGAGGCCAAGACTCAAGACAGATTAAACACGGCCAGTTCTACTACAATGGCGGGCTTGGGGGCGTTATGCTATTTACAGCGAGTCAGGTATATGTATAAATTAACAAGAAATAAGCATCGGAATACGCTGCGGTGGTTGTACGTCGGGAGGTCAGGGTGTCAAGAAAGGAATTTGGGTAGTTCGGATGGACTTTTGGAAGGAGCGGGGGTAATCCATCTGCCATACCATGCACCAGCAGGGGTATGGCTTTGGCCGGTAAGGTGAAGTGCGCTGTGGGGCAGTTGATGGAGAAAAATCGGTGCATTGTCCCTGCAAGCCTTGTGGTGGCAACGCCGCTCCAGCGTTTCCGTATCCCTCCGGGTGATGTCCCAGCGCTGGAGTGCTTGGCAGGATGAGCACTGGTGTGGCAGGGAATCTCCATTTGGGCGGGAGCGATCCTGGGCCCAGAACATCTCGAAGACGCCACCCTGGACGTACACGACAAGGGTTGTGTGGACACCGAGTGAACGGTGATCGCTGAGAAGCTTGGTAAATGTGCTCATGGTTCCATGCACAAACATCGACATGGAGAGGTCAAGGAGGAACTTGTTCGCCGCCTGCGGGTGGAAGGCAATAGCAGAGAAACCCCAGATAGAACTGAATCCAAGGCTGTTGCCAGTTAGATGCTTGTTGTCGGCACAGGTGATAATACGCACCGTTGGCTCCGCTGTCGCACCACTTCCCGAGGTTGGGCCAGAGTATGTAGAGAGCCGCAGCTCAGCAAAACCAGGGCGGAGAGCCGGGCTGCCTTCACGACCTCGGAGAGTTTCAGGGGGAAGAGGGCATCCAAAACCTGGAACTGCAGCATCCATTTTCTGTTATTGAGCGATGCAGTGTTCACTCACTGCCCCAACTTCGCTTGCACCATTGTTGCCCGATTGTACGTGAAGATCGCCATCGGGGGTAGAATGCGTCGTGAGCAGAACAAGAACTTGGTGATCTCTGCCAAAAGTCCAGGTTTAGCCTGACTTGAATGTATGCGGGCAACCCACAATATGTCGGTCAGACGGCGGACCTCCCGCTGGATCACTGCCTCATAGTCGTGAATGCCGGTGACAAGGTCGAACTCTACAGAGACAAGGCGAACGTTTTCGCCGTAGTAAGGGACAAGGTTGTGGTAGACCACGCTGGCGGGGTCGCCGGCCAGCGGCATGCCATTTAGGCGGATACTGAAAATGGTCAGGCGTCCCGTATGAATGATCGGCCAATGTCCGAGATGCATCTTCGCTCCGGGGAAGATCAGAGGTCGTGTCTCCTCAGAGCCTTTCCGCCAAATACCCTGCAGACAGAGTCCAGCTGGGCAAGTTGTGGATTGGATTCACATACCGTGTAAGCCTGGCCTGGGCCAAAACGGTCCTTAATGCCTTCTGCATCCGCTAGTGCCAGCATTGGCGGTGGCGGCGAGATGAAGCATGCGGGACAGACGAATCGGACGTCTTCATCCGATACATTGTCCCCCGTGCAGTCAGTAGGGATGCAGTTTTGGCAAAATGATCGAGGGCAAAACTCGCAAGCCGTCAGGTGGCCACCGTCAGAACAGTTTGAGCACCAGCTGTGTGGCTGGACTTTGTGAGTTGTGATGATGCTCAGAGAGAACTGCTCACCTCTTGGACCTTGCGAGGTTTGCACATTGGCTGTGCTGTTTTTCTCTTTTTTGGGGGTGGCTTTTTTGGGCCGGTGTGTTTTTGCTGGTAATAGTTAGGATACGAAGGGGGAAGGATAGGGAGGGCCCTTCATACTTGGATGGCGACACGCTGGGCTGGGCCGCCAGGGCTTTTGGGGGGCGTCTGCTTGGTCTTTACCATGACGGACGGGTAGAAGGCAGCGTGACACCTGTCGAGTGATGTGACCGATCGCGTTTGACGCCGATCCGGGCCGGCACGACCGCGGCAGGCGTAAACATCCACACGGCTTGTCTTCCTGCCCTCCCTACCCTGGTCTTATTTCTGCCGCACGCTCGCCGGAGATGGAGACGGGCTGATCTAGTATATGCAGGACGCGCTCAAGAGGTTATGAGCTACGAGCTCCAGAAGACAGGAGCAGATGGTGATACATCCAGGGGAATATAATCCATGTTTGGATGTTACTTAGCTCTAATTTCATTGGACTTGGCGCAAGTTGGAAGTTGAAAGTTGGACCGAAGCTCGAGATTACGACTTGCTCAACTCCAATGTCTCAATATTAGCCAGGAAGCATGGTCAACTCAAGGCTGTGATCCAGGCCCTCGCAGGACTTGTGGTTAAATGGTTAGACCAGATTAAAAAGACAGCGGAACTGAGAAACGGCTCCAGCTCGTTCAAACCGTCCGTGTTGCGTGTGATTATTCGCCAAGGCCGCGGTGGGAATCGAACCCCCACAGCCATCCGATGCAACATTATCCACTTTTTCAGCTTCGATATCAGAGTCTAATGCTCTACCATTGAGCTATGCAGCCGTCGGCGGAGGTAGAGCGTGAGATGGTGATACCAGCTTGTGTGTCCAGATTAATCTGACGGTGTGCGTTCAAGTCGCGCCTCGGCCTTTTTCTCTTCCTTTTTTTTCTTCTTCATTATCTTCCGGACTTGGGATTTTTGTTCGCGATATTCACAGTGGAAAATTGCAGCCTACCGCTGAGATAAAAATATTCAGTATAGTAGCACTTGTCTTACTATAATAACCTATAGCACCAAATAGACCATCGACTACGTTACCTTTGTAGTTGCAACATAGGAGGTTTAAATTTAGGAACGGCTCCGGATTTTTTTTTTGAAAAAACTACTTATCAGCAGAAATAGTGGCCTCCAGAGGGACTGAAGACCCCGGCGTGCTCCTTTGCCTTGCTGCTCCAGCCAGTGGCCGCGCTGGGCGCGACGCTCTCGAGAGCATATACGCACTTATCGTGGCCAGATATTTTTGGAAACCCCGAGCACCCGTGTGACTCCCACTACCGCCAAAATCTTGCAGTTGGTCCATCAACTCCAGCGACCGCAGACACCTTTGTTTTTTTTGTGAAAATAAAATAAAATAAAAATAAAATTTTTTCGAAATATTCGTTAAGGCGGCAGTGGGAATCGAACACACAGTGTGAGCTGAGACCAGATTATGCAACCCGGACATTACTATCTAACACTCTACCATTGAGCGATGCGGCCGTACCTGCTGTCCTCCTCAGGGCCAATGTGTGATCCAGAGGTACGGGACACCTGGCTGTGCTACTTTGCCTCGTGGTGGGCGCGACACTCTCGAGGCCTCAGGCAGCAAATGCAAACAGCTTGTGACCTGCTGTTGGATTTGCAAGTTGAGGCCCTGGTCAATGGACCGACAAGAAAAGAGCCAGTTGATTCTCAGCCTTTTCCGGCTGTGTGGAAATCATTCAATAAGTCTTACTGTGTTGCCAGCCAATTTAAAGACGCCAAGAAAGGTGTAGAATTTCAAGCTAGGATTTGGATACAGGAGAAACATTGTTCTAGTAGTTGAGGGCCCGTCTGCGAAAGAGGACAGCCTCGTGCCCATACTCACAGCGACTTGGAGGGCCCACTCGCGAGCTTTCAAAGTATAGGTGCTCCCCGAAACCACAATATGCATCCCCATCTTCCTCCCAGTCCCTGTTGGCACGGTTTTTTGTCCAGACCAGGGTGGGGTGGTACCCGTCACCAATAACGTGAGGACTACCATCTATTCTAGTGTCATACCAGCCCGTGAGTCCCCGGGGGACGCTTTCATCCCCATCGGTCTGGTCATTAGCGTCTGCATACTCGTCAACGCGTTCGCATTCATCAGCATAACCGCAATGGAGCACGACACGGCGCAGAGGGGAAGCTGGGGGCAGATGGCCAAACCAATGCAGCCAGAGCTGCCTTGCCTCCTTCCAAGTCGGGGGCCAAAATGGATAGGCACTTGTTGAGATGATAATGTCTGTAATGTTCCCGAGCTTGGGACTGCACAGGGATGCTTGCCAAGTGTCCCCCGACCATGGGCCATCATCCGGCCTGTCGTCATTCTCCTCCTATAATAATTCAGAGAGGTACTGGGCAGGAATTCTATTAAAAACGAACCCGGAATGTGGCCTGTTCTTTGATTGGCATGAGATGGAGTTTCCGTAGGGATGGAATCTGGTCAAGGTGGCCTTGAATAAGGAAGCGTTCCAGGCATTCATCATCCTGGATCTCATAACAGATGACCAGTGTATGCAGGGCAGTCATCTTGCTGGACAATGTGAGCCATGCGCCCCAGAATGCGGTGCACTGCTCAAGATAGGCAGGGTCCTCAATGTTGGTATCAAGATCCATAGATATCTGTAGGGTACGGATGCCGCGTGCAAGGGGGACTTGTGATTCTTCAATGAGGTGCAAGAAACTGAAGGCATCCATGAAGGTGCGGAAATTTATATGGCGAAAGAGGAAGGGCTGCAGGGCATATTGAAAGACCCTATTGAGACTGATCAGTTCAATCAACTCTGCTCTCGGGATGTCCAGCTGAAGCAGCTGCGAGAGGACAGCTGCCACTATATCATCGTGGAGGTACATATTGTTGAGATGATAACACATCATCTCGTCACGTGATCTTTCGTGTACACGTGATACTTTGTGACGTGGCGAACAACCCAAAAATCATGCCCCGGGCGCCGCGTCGGGGGACTCGTTCCCAGCAGGCCCAACAGGCCAGGGAGATAGGATCATTCATCTCTAGTACTCCCCAAGAAAACCCATCTGTGCCCCAGGCTAAACCTCGGCCACATGTTCGTCATGGCATCCGCTCTGACCAGGCTCAAACTCGGCGTAGCGAGGCCTACTTACAACAGGACGGCCCATACCAAAAGGGGCAGCAAAAAATCAAGACCCTTACTGGTGTGTTTTTTTGATGAGCTACAGCCAAAAGCTGACATTACCCCCGGATGCAGAGACCTTTACCCCCAAAAGGTTCCCAGACGATTTCCTCGGTTCGGTCAAAAAGGGGTTACCCTGGTCAACCAGATTATTCAGAGCAAGTACCCCGGCTCCCCCACAGCACTACCCAACCTCAGCGACGATGCAGACAAGATCCTTCTGGTTCCTGCACCGCCACTTGACAGGAGGCAGGAGGAGCTGGTTGGCCCAGGGCAAATGCCCAAGTACATATTGCCAAGGACATTAGAAAATCCAGGTGTCCGTGCCTCACTCCAGAAATTGGGCCCTCCACCCTTCCTCCTAATCAGATTTTCCGATCTACTGTCGCCCACGGTTCAGCAACTGCTTTGGGATGCATTTCAGCAAATTGTGGATGCCAAGCCACGGTATCCGCGAGCCGAGCATGGACGTTCTGCGACACCGGCACTGCATTTCGGCATCTGGTCGCTTTTCAAGAACTTACCAGAGATAACTGCCGACTCGATTCAGCGCTCACATTGAAGCAGTGCAAAGCTGGTTGGCCTCATCGACAACTTTCTGTTGCTGGTGAAGCTTTACCTGGTCCCCAAGGCAAGGGCGCTGCTCGGGCGCTATATACCCACCCAGCTTACAATCCTGGAGCCGTACGTCATCTATCCATTTAAATGTCTCTCTGCATCTTGAGTTTTTTATCCCCAGGGTCCATGCCCGTGTCAAACGCATTTTGGGCACAGAGATTGCTGCCCGTCCCGCAATTGACTTTGAAGGTGTCTTCTTCTGCATTGCAGTCAAGGAGGGGTCGAGCGAGATAATACATCTCGACTTCAATGACCCTTTACCGCTTGTTACCCTGATATGGGTTGTGTCTCCAGCTGATGCATCCTGGACAGGAGGGGAATTTTGTGCTCCACAATTGGGTTGGAAGGTTCCATTTTGCCCTGGGCAGATGATTGCTGTGCGGGCCCGATTGCTGGCCCATTGTGGTGCCCAGGTTACAGGCGGTGGGCGCCTGGTCTTGACCTGCTTTTCAGATTCCATGACACTTGAGCATGCATTGTTTGGAAGCCCCGAGAACCCACTTGGTGTCGATGTTCTTGTAATTTAAATAGAATTTGTCATCTTGTCTATTGAATGGGTATTCTTGATGTCAGCCCCCATGCCTCTCTCTTTTCCATCTCCATAAAAATGTCCCCTTTCGCCGTGGTTTTGCCACGGTCAAATTTCGCCGCGGTTTTGCCACGGTCAAATTTCGCCGCGGTTTTGCCATGGTCAAAATTTAAGGAATAAAAAGGTACCGAACATACGCAGGAACAGATAGGTCTAAATTCAAAGGAACAGATAGTGAAAAGTGTTCAAATCTGTCGCCTTAACCGCTCGGGCATAGTGCACGAAGGAGAGACGGAGAGAGAATCAGTAAAGAGAGCTCGACTTGTCAAGTGTAAGATCTCCGCTTTCTGGGGAGGTACTACCTAGAACTTGCCATGGACTCGTTCTTCACAACATCGGGGTCGTTTGTGGATTGTGTGGACAGTACGTCTACCGAGTCAACTGCCCTTCTCTCTCCTGAGCATTCTCGCCACTCCTCCCTCGGTGTCCGACCTTGACTAGGGAAGATGCTGGTGGTCTTGCGAGACGGACGAAAACTGCACGGCGTCCGACGCTCCTACGACCAGTTCGGTATACGCTGGCCCCTCTCGTCTTGTCTCCCCGTCTCATATGCTGCAGCCAACCTCGTGCTCGAGGACACCGTTGAGCGCATCTACCACGGCAACGTGTTTGCGGAGAACTGGCACGGGCTGTTTCTGATTGGAGGGGAAAACATCGTGCCGCTGGGGGAAATTGCGCGTTTCGCAGCGCTGTTCGCGTGGTATTTGACTGACCTTCGTCGGTGGAGTACGCGGCGCTCGAGCGTCCAGATGCGAGAAGAGGCAAAGGCACAAATCCTGTACGAGCACGAGGCCTGCGATTCTTCATGCTCTGGGTTATCTTTTTTATGTTCTTGACGGATTTGAGACGAAGCTCGAGGTCGCGGAGGGTTGCCATGTTGCGTGCATTTCCGGGCGCAGCTCCAGAAAGCGCGGAAGGTGCACGAGCTAGTGTGCGACGAGCTAGCATGACGAACGATGTCAGAGACTGCCTAGGGTTGAAGGGCCAACGGCCGGGGGACGTAGAGAGGACGATAGCGTAGAGAGGAAGCTTGTTGTTTGGCAGGAGCGCTAGATGGATATATTGGTCACGTGCCCTGCTGAACTCGCCCGCAAGTTGCCAACTTCACCGTCACCGAGTTCACGCGCTTGGGGCATTGTCTTGAAACTGCACACAATGTGGTGGTCCCTCCGAGTACCGACAGTCTGGGCGCAAGCGTCCAGGTGTCTTGGAAGTAAGTCGATTTGTACTTATGTACTGATGCCGTTGCCGACAAACGCGGCCAAACAACCACCGCTGCTACTACTTATTTAGTACTTACCAAGTACTTACAAAAGAAATAGAAGCTCGGTGCCTTTCGATACTCGTTTTTACGAGTATGTAGAGGCAGTTCCATGCACTTTTCAATTCATTTGAAGTGGGAACTGAGGAGGAAAAAAAAAACTTGAAGCCTGGTTGCTCACAAGTTGCTTAAATATCGTCAACCTGAGCTGCCAGCTAGTAACATAGCAAGCCTCTCCGGCTGGGTATCCTTGCACATTCATGCATAATATTGCGAGATACAACTGAGTCGGGGCAGCAAGATACAGATATTCAACCAAAATCACCCCCGACGCGTGCTCCGCCGTGGCCTCTTGCGCAAATTTGAACCCGCGCCCTCCCCCTCCAGCGGCTCCCCAATCAGACTCGCTAGCCGCAGGCGTTCCTCGCGCTGCCCCGGGTCCTCGTACATCACCTGCAGGCTCTGCTCGTCCGCGCCCATGCTCAGGCCCTCGTACGCGCCATCATCCGGCCCAGGACTCAGCGACCGCCCGCCGCCAAATCCGTTCAGCTCTCCCGCCACGGGCGCATGGTACACCGGCAGCGCGTCCGAGGGCTGGCGCGACTGTGGCTGTAGATCATCAGTCGGAGAACACGAAAATTCCGCCGCGGCGCAACGCACCTTCGACCGATGCGCGCGACCCCGCTTGCCTGCGCGGCCTAGCGGCGCGTCCTCTTCAGCCGCCACCGGCCGCTTCCCCAGCAAAGACGTGATGCTCTCCTGCAGCGCCTTCGTGCGTTCTTCGGGGATTTTGGTGGGCGATACGCTTACCCCGCGACGGAGCGGGGATGGCGAAGTTGACGACGGCACGCGCGCGGGT